CAAGTTCTATGGTTTAAGTGCTTAATTGACTTGCCAGTTCCCTCTTTTTTATGTCAACAATGATTAATACTTTTTTGGGAATGATTCACTTTATAATTTTTTAATTATCTTAACTCAAATGCAAAATAACCTTATACAATTTTTTAATTTACGCTCATGCATTCTATATAAGCGCCCTCATGCATTCTATATATTATTGTTCTCATGTATTCTATATATTTCATAATTGTCAACCTTTAATAAAACGATAATTCTCTAATGATCTGCATGAATTAGATAATAACATAGATATAAACTAATAAACCCACATAATAAAAACAGTTAACACAGGAAATATTAGCCCACCTGCGCAACGCGCAGGCCGTCTCACTAGTTTCATTATAAGGTGGCAATGTGGAATACAAAGACAAGTCAACATCTATCGTATAGATAATATAGATAATAGCAGTAGGTCATTCCTTATTTACTAGAGTAGCTCACCGAATTATTTTGGTGATTTTAATTGATGTTTAGTACATTATCGGGTGTAAACATCGTTCTGCTAATTAATATAGAGCTTTTCTGTTTTGCCAAATGTGGGGACCTAGAGTGCTCAACGTGGCTCGTTTACAATTCACTTAAAAGTTAAAAGTCACAAGGTGATGAACCACGGCAACATTTTTTCACCCAAGACAAAAAACACGGTAAATTGTCATGTTTATTTAAGTACATGATTCTTGGTTCAAGCCGTCCACTTATGTTATTAAAAAAAAAAAACACACCAACTTTGCATCACTGAAAATTGGAAGTATTTCCAATCAGCATTTCCTAGGATAAAAATTGGCAGAAAACTTATCCACAATTAATTAGCCTTGCAAAGCATAAGCTTTATTTAGTCTCCCACCAACTTCGTGTCAAACGGTAAATAGGCTTGGTCAAGGAGGACATACCAATTTACAAATTGGATTCAAGAACTTTATTCGCGACATCCTATCTTTCTTATCAATCGCAGAAATGGTTGTTTATAATTGTATGAGAAAAAGAGAAAAAGTTCAAACAAATTGAATCAATCAAAAATTGACACAAGTTTGAAAAATGAGTGATACAGGAAGGAAAAAAAAATCCGCTTTCAGGAAGTTGTGGACTAGATCAGTGAGAGGCCGATGGAGCTTTATCGCGTACAAACCACATCTAAACCATCATTGTAACTTTGATTGAAGGAGCGAGAGAAAATCTAGCTTAGGGGAAGAGGAGGACCGGAGAAGGAAAGAAGGAAGTGAGGGTGGAAAAGACTGATAGCAGGCCAGGAGACACAAAATCCAGCTCCACCATACGTTGCAAGAGCAGCACGATAAGGTACAACGTAATAGGCCACAAGAGGGAAATGTGGAAAGAAAAAGGATGAAGAAATGGTCCAAGGGGTCCAACAACATTTAAACGCGCGCATGATATTCCCATCAGCACAGCAAATGAGTGCGTACTTGCACAAGTGAGCAGCTACTCAAGGTGCCGACTGGATAGGGACTAGGGTTAATGTTCATAATTCTTTTAGACTAACGAAAGAATCAACAATTCTATATCAGGATCAAGAACTTTCTACTAGCATTAGAGCAAGCGCTTCATTCATCTTACACTTGTTGGAATTGTAATGATGCACATCGGAGAAAAGATTGGTGGCCCGAAGAAGAAAATCCTCTACTTTTGATAAACTTCTTATGCAGATTCCTATGAATTTGTGCCAATGTTGTATCTGTGAGCTTTTCTCCACTTTGATGAGGATGCTTCTTGCCGTTAATCTCTTCCACCTATAGCACATCAGGCCCATGAAACATAGAAGCTTCATTGCCTAACCACGAGAACTGACTTTTTTTTTTATGAGCCCAAGGCAGGGACTTTGGCACCCAATCTTGTGGTTGGATTTGAAAAGGTTATTGTTCCATGTTACAAGACAACTTTCTTCCTCCTCTGCCTCTGCAACTGGGATTGAAGATAGGAAATCTTGTTATTCCCTCGTGCATTGCACGTTGATGCAGTACTCCATTACTCAGTTGAAATTGAGAAAAAGATCAATAATTTGCATTCTCGGTATCAGGGATCAAAGTTCTTCATAATTGTTGAAGCGACTAAAATTTTACGCGACTAAAAGTTCAAGAGGCAATGAGACTTTTCCCTCAAAATTACTAAATTGTGTTTTACCTTCATCTTTATTGTATACTGTAAAATGGAATTGATTTATATTTTTTTTTGTATGTACTATCATGTAGATTTCAACTTTATCTATGATTGAAGAGGATTAAGATTAAGAGTACGATTTCATCTACCTTACCGGTACTTTGGACGGACGACGAGTAGGAACGGTTGCTAGAAGTTATATGTATTTTGCACAGCGCGTAACTTTATTTGCACATGATGTAACTTACTTTGAACAACGTTGTAACTTTAAAAACCAAATTTTTGTGGATTCCACACATATTGTTAAATCTACTACAAGATGAAATTTGGACCGTAAAATTTTTTTTGACCAAATCTTGACCGTGAACTGCTCAGGAACGATTCTTCTGATGACCGTCCCTGCCCCATTCCTACTTTGACCCACAAATCTTAAGTATCTCGACCGTACTTAGTTTTTGACAAATTGGACTCACAGGTTGGTTCAACCGATTGAAATATGAGCAAGTGTGGGACCAGTCTAGTTGAAAGGGGCTAAAATAGATTAAAATCGCTTAAACAAGTCAAAATTAGAAAACTCGGTCATTGACAGAGTTTGCCATTAAATTATTATTTTTCTATAATTTCATTTTTTAATTCTAAAATAAATAGAAGAGTCAATTCTTTCATTCGAATGTTTAATAGTTGAATCGAATCAAAAGCTGAGTTTAAAAATATTGACCCAACTTCATTGTTCACCATTAGGCATGTCAATGTAGGGTCTGGATTGGATCCCTTTGATCCAGATCCAGACCCATTTAATTTAATTAGATCCAGACCCAGATCCAAACCCTTTTGGTTTGAAAAAGTAAATCCATATTCAAATCTTTATGGATCTAGGTATCTAATGAGCATCCATGGGTATTTTTTGAAAATACTAAAGTAAAAATGTATTAAAAATATATAGAGTTCATAAATAATAGAAATATCATCCAATTTTTGTTTTCAAATAATAAAATTAACATTCAACAAATTAAATGCAATATCTTGAACTCAAAGAAAGAATTATTATTGACTACTTTTATATATTTTTAAAGATTCAACTGTATCCACATCAATATTTCATTTATTTGCCTTTACCTTTTCTCCATTTCTTGAAAAAAATTGTACCAATTACAATGACAACTAGGATTAGTTTTTAAAAAAGAAAACAACCATAACATATATAAATATTTAGTTTCATTAAAAAATGTAATTTTGTACCTCTTTTGCTTATTTAAACCTCAATGATGGCAGATGTCTCGCAATCCAATACTAAAATAGTGAATGAGATAAAAATCATTTGATTAAGGACCGATGGCAAATAAATAATAGCATAAGAAGATTTATAAACACTTACTCATTTTTTCTTTGATTCAATCCAATTATCAGTAGTCACTAATGTTTCAACCACATTTAGAAGCAATTTGGCACGAGTCTCATTAATCATCCAACCACTAACATTAATTGCAGATTCTGATGCCATAAAATCTTACTGTGTTTGATCTAATAGCCATAAGATATTATATTATTTTATAAATTTTCTAATATATATTAATTAATTTAATATATGGGTTGGGTAAGATCTGGTATGAGTTTGGATTTGGATATGGATTCTAGAAAACCAGACCCTACCCAGACCCACGACTCTCTCATAGGGTCTGGGTCTGGGTAGGGTTTGGATTTGAGAAATTAAATCCAAACCCTACCAAATATATTGGACCTGGATTGGATTTGGTAAGACCCGACCCATTGACATGCCTATTCACCATCATAATAATACATTATTTTGTACTTTGCAACGTAATCAAATTTGTCTAATCTAAGGATTTCGTTTGATAAAACTGAATCTGAATTCTGAAGTCTGAATTCTTAATTCTGAATACTGAAACAATTAATTTGCTAAATTTTAAGTACTGAAAAGAAATATATAAATGTCTGAATTTTAATGCTAAACTTATTTATACTGTTTGATAAATATTTATAACGATGCTTAATAAGTTTAATTTGACAATTTTACCCTTATATTTTTTCATTCAAAAAAGAAATAGAACCTATGATTTAATTAGTTTAAATTTGTTGGGTGTAAAAATGACAATATTTATTTTTAAATCAAATTAATATAAAAGATGAAATATATTATATGAGGAGTATAGAGAAGATGTGAAAGTCATTAAAAAGAAATAAAAAGAGAAACAGAAAATCGTTAAATAGAGAATACCAGATTCTTTAATTAGATAAGAATTTTGAACATAATTAACAAACAAGGGTAGATTTGGTAGATAAAATAAGGTAGTTGAAGTAATTCTATTGATTTTTATCAGAATTAAGCATTCAGTTAGGATTTTTGTGCTGAAAAAAATACACACAAGTTCAGCACTGTTTAACAAGTTCAGCAGATGAATTTTTATTTATCAAACACTCAAAACATCTGAATGTCTGAAAAAGGTCAGTTTCAGCACTTTTTTATGTTATCAAACAGATCCTAAGTTATTTGGTTCTTCCTCACTTTTTGTTTATGGATGAGAAATTACATATGTAGGCTTGCTCTGCAAGTCCACTTGTATTCTCATGTGATGTATTCATGATAGCATACTAATTAAATGTAAGAAAATTGATAGTAAACGAATTAGACGATATTAAAAAAAATTGGGGTATTAGCTAAATATACATTGTCGGTCGACAAGTGAGCTAAACCTAACTTAACCTTTTTCCCTACTTATATATAGGCGAATAAAGAAAGATGCAAACAGGCAAGAAAGCATTTCCCTCATTCTTCTGAATAAAGAAAACCATCCGAAAAGGAAGGATACACCGTTTATCTTCATCTCTAGATGGAAATAGATAAAATCGCCCAGTTTTTTGAGGGGAAAACCATTTTCATCACTGGTGCCACTGGCTTTCTTGCTAAGAGTACTCCTCTCACTGTTTTTCTTTTCCTTTATGCATCCCTGGCTTATATTGTGCAATTTGTATACATGAAATAACTAGAGATCGTTTACTTTTTCAAGTACCAAAGACAGTAGATTACATTTGAGTTCTTTTAACGTTGTGTTGTTGTTTTTTTTTTTTTTGGATGATTTGTAGTTTTCGTGGAGAAGATACTAGGAATCCAACCAAGTGTCAAAAAGCTGTTTTTGCTAATGCGACCTAGCAATTCCAAATCCTGTTCACAAAGGTTATACCAAGAGGTATATGAAACTTATCACCCCAACTATAGTATGATGTAGATTGAAATCAGAGTTCAATTACCACCCAAATACTCGTTTTATGAAAGCGGGCATTCTTGCTACGGAGAAAAGATATTCTTATTAGAATGGCCTAATTAGTAAAAAAGCTGGTGAAGGCCAAAGAATCTTACAAAAAAAAATGTCATTCTTACTAGAAAAAGCAAGAAATGCAGAATAAACATCAAAACCTTGCTTTTTCATCGATAGATTATAGACACCGAGCTGTTCAAAGTGCTAAGAGAGAAATAGGGGCGCAAGCTTGAGTTTCCTAATATCTGAGAAAGTGGTAGCCGTCCCTGGTGATATTTCTTGCGAGAATTTGGGGATTCAAAACAGCCCATTAAGGGAACAAATGTGGAGAGAAATTGACGTAGTCATTAACTCGGCTGTGACAACAAGATTTGATGAAAGGTAAACTTATAAAACAACGTCTTTATGTTTTTCGTTGATATTGTGTAAAAACATCTATAATCTTGACTTCTATATAGGTATGATGTTGCCGTGGACATTAACGTTTTTGGCGCTCTGCATATACTGAATTTCGCCAAGAATTGTGTGAACATCAAAGTACTTCTTCACATATCCACAGGTTATAATTAGCATCACTTTAATCCAATGTATTGTACTTCTTGACATATCCTAGCTTTGATAATAATAATAAACTCTTGGCCATGATATTGAAACTTTATATGTAACACTCATTCCACCTTCAGTTGTATATGTAAATGATTTCTTTGAGAAGTGAGAAAGGTTTTATGCATTGCCCTGGACAAGAATTCAGCAGATGTTTAACTTTGTATTTTGGAAAGCAGCTATTACTTAACTTATTAACGCAATTAAAGCACCGCATACATCAATATTTCCCTCCACTGTGCAATTCAAACGGGTTATCTTCCTTGGGAGAAAGGAAAACGGAGGAAAAAAGTAACTGTTTGGCCTCAATATGTATAAATATAACGTTATCTTGGTCATAATTAAATTATGTTTTTGCTATCTTCCTTTTCTTAACAAAGAACATTCGCATGCATCTCTAGACTTTTGACTTTCCTGTATCTGTTTGTAGCTTTTGTATGCAGTGAGGAGGAGGGACTCGCATCAGAAAAGCCATTTGACATGCGTGAGACACTTGGTGGAGTCTCCTCTTATTTAGATATCAATATACAGAAGAAATTTGTGGATGAAAGACTAAGGGAACTTCAGAATGAGAATGCAAGAACAGAAGCAATAAGATCTGCCATGAAGGATTTGGGCATTCAAAGGTTAGATATGGTCTCTAATGGACCGTTAAAAAAGTAAACAAATAAATTAACATGGTCCGAGAAAAATTTAGAATAAGAAAACAAGGGCTTTTATTGCACTGAAGCTATTGTATTTTAATATTTGTTTTTTACTTTATTTTATTTTTTTGAAATTTGTTTCCCACCTTACCACACAACCCAACCCAACCCTCCCCTAATCTTTGTTTTTTATTTTTTAAAATAGGAAGCCAAAACTATTTTTTTAAAATAGGAAAACTATATATTTCTTTTGGCTTCACTCATCTAGTAAATTTGTTGCATAACTTGAGAACTTACATATCTTCACCTCATAGATATATGTATGCGCTTTGCACATCTATGAAATGCTCAAAACTTGGCTCCATAGCATCAATGATTTTTTTTTTGGCTTAAAAAATGTGGGAGAAAAAGAAAATATACTTTTAAGTAGGTCATAAATAGATAATTAGGTGTTTCACATCCATTTAAGGCCATATTCATTTATGACTCACTGATTTTTACCTATTAATTAAATATGTACATATGAGTTGATCAGATTATACTCTTTACCTGAGTATGACCCACTAAAAGTTACCTAGTTCACTCATTTTGATAGTTCTACTTGGTTCAATGGTTTTTTTTTTTGTTTAAATCAATGGATTTTGTTTTTCCTTTGAAGTTTGAAAGCCATTACTAAGAATGTTTACTTTTTATGAAAGTTTATATATTTGTTTTTTAATTTTTTTTTACTTACCCTCTTGATGAATTAAACTCGTGTCCTGTCGGTTACAAGCATCATTGTCAAAAAAAAAAGTGTACTTTTATGGGATATCTTTAATGCGCAGCTTGCCGTAAGTAGTTCGCTATATGAAAAAATCTTTCTATTTTATGTGCTTTGTCAGATTTGAGGAAAATGAAGAAGTCTTTAACTCTTTTATCTGACAGAGTGATACTTATGACCAAAAAAAAAAAAGGGGTAAAGTTTCATTTGTTTCCTCACAAAGAAAGAGGCTTAATTAGAAAAATCTTCAGGCAAGGTTGCATGGGTGGCCAAACACCTACGTTTTCACAAAGGCTATGGGAGAAATGGTTTTGGAGCAATTCAAAGAAAACTCAAAGTGGTCATCGTACGACCAACAATTGTTACTAGTACTTTCAAGGATCCCTTTCCTGGTTGGATTCAAGGGGTTAGGTAATATACTCTTCGCTATCCATCTAGCTTGGTGCTAGCTAATTAATTATATGGATTCATGAGAGTTTTTCATTCCAATTTCTTTAAACCACACATCAATTTCGATCATAACTTGTTTTACTCGATTCGTCAACGTTCTGATATTCATCATAGTCATGCTTTACACTGATATTAGACTTAATTACTAAAAATTTGGAATTAATTTCTGTCGGCATTTAAGGATTTATACATTTTCTTTAAACCTATTGTACTTTATTGGCATTCTAATTTAGGGGCTTTCTGCAACAAACTTGTCTATAGGAAATGATTTATCAAACTGGAATTACTATCCCCTTTCCTAGAGAGATTTTGTGGTGACTTATTAGGTTTCATTTTTTTCGAGATAAAAAGACAAAACAGAAAAAAATTGTTTCAAAATAAGTACATATAAGGGGTGTGTGTGTGTATGTGTATTTGTCTGTGCATGCATGGACAAAATCCATCAATGCATATATTAATTTTACGTTCCTTTTTATCTTTTACTAACTATGTCCTGCTGAATTCACTTGATAGAACTGTCGATAGCTTTCTTGTTGCTTATGGTAAAGGAAAACTGAAATTTGTTCTCGGGGATCCAAAGTCGATACTGGATTTGGTAAGTCATCAGTCAATTTTCACTACAATTGTTGAGATACACTGCATAGCCATCTAAAATTCAAAAAAAAAAAAAAAGAAAGGAAAAAATAACACTACTAGCTGCCAGTTTTTTGCCAAAATAACACTCTTTCTAAAAAATATTCCCAATGTGATTCACTTTCAAATTTTATTCCCAAATCGATGTTATTGTTGCCACCTAATTATCCTGATTGCCATGTAGGATAACAAGAAAGGAAAGCTTTAATCTAGTTTATAGTTTCCAATAAACTAAAAATTTAAACTGTTTTATTATAGAGGCACAAGAAAATTGCATAACTTTGATAATTTCCTTCTAATTATTTAAAATAAATTTTACCATTATTGACCTTGCTATTATTGCTCTCTGCAATTTTTTTAAATGTATCAAACTTATTGCATATATTTTTTCAAAAATAAATTTGCAAAATGCAAAAATTGCAATGAACATTATAAGCAATAATAAGAAAAAGTTAAAAAACTTCAAGGTTATCATATTTGTTTATGTTATGCTTTCTACTCCTTGAAAAGTACTTTTACAAAAAGTAATCAAACTATTGCAATTAAGATAATGCTAAAGTTTCTCAAAAGTAACACAAGCCATTCATTGATGTTGAATAAATGTGCAAAAATGCTTCAAGTATACGAGATTATTTGATTTTGTGATAGAGAGGCACTACAAATGAACATGTTTATATTGAGCATGAATTTATGTTGTTACGTAGTTTTCCTCTTAGACATTTTATCAAGCACACGGTGTGAGAAATCATTTGTTAAAGCAATTAGTATTCAAAATTTTTTGAAGGCCATAGGAATGTTCCAAAAACTGTACAACAGAAAAGACAAGAGAATAATCTTCATTTACCTTGAAATTATCAATTCGAGGAGAATATTTTCATAATATCAGGAATAATAATGAAGTTTTAGATGTTGTTAATATAAATATTGACTTTTAACAATTACACATTTGACAAGGAAAAATAACGAAAGGACAAAAATAATAAAGAAAAAAAAAAGTGGGTAGGTTCAGAGAGAGAATCAGGGTAGATATTAATTGGGAAAGAGAAATAGTATGTGTCTCTATCTCTATCCTACCACATATGCAACCTATGTGGAAAAAAAGAATTATAAAGGTAATAAATTTTAAAATTAGGTTACTTTGGGTATATGTTTCAAAAGAAGAGTTATTTTGGCAATAAACTCACTAGTTGCCTTAACTTTCTTTTTGGAATTATATTTCAGTTTGTCACAGAAACGATTAACCATGAAAACTTTCCAATTTTCTAGTTTTCCACCAGCTTTAGTCTTTGTCCAGACGCATTGCACCTTTCAAAAGTTGATCTAGCTAATCATGTCCGGATTACTTAATATGCAATTTTTGGTCTTCTACCTCTGCAAAATGGTTTTCTGATATAAAATTCCCCATTTAAAGACTTCCAGAATTTGATGTCCATCCCAAAAATTTAAAATTTCCCGTCCTGCATGCATGATATATGCTACTAATTAAATTGCATGCATGATGATCTTCAAAATTTTCCACAGATACCAGGCGATATGGTGGTCAATTGTATCCTTGTTGCCATTGTAGCCCATGCAGATCAATCGTATGATCACCATATCTATCATGTCGGTTCTTCCCGAAGAAACCCTCTCAAATTTTCTGATGTTCACGAGATGTTTTACTCTTATTTCATCAAGAATCCTGGGATAAATGATCGTGGAAAGGCTGTAAGAGTGAATAAGGGTAAAGTATTGAGCAGCATGGACAGCTTCAACAAATACATTGCTATTCGCCACCTACCATTCTTGAAGGTCAGGTTTTAACCGCTTACTAATTATGTCATGGCTTATTTATCACGTAAGGCAACAACTTTACCTCTCTTTTTTTTTCTTGGTTTTGGAATAAGAAACTCTTTATTTCTTTTTCATTGAGAGTTTCAAAGCGAAAATCTACACGTATTGTGATTAGTTATTTGCAAGTGAGGCCAAAGTGTCGCGAGTGAACGAGGTGTTATAAGTTGCCGACGAGGAGCTTCGGCAAAAACCTGCAACACAACACGAAAAACAGAGCGGGGCTATACCCGATGCAACTCTGATGCCTAAGTCAGAGAAAAGGCAAAAAATCAATATATATTATGAAGAAGGTTAGAATATTTGTAGTTACCTCTCCAGAACAGTGTTAGGCGTCCCACGTCATATTAATCAAATCAATTAGTACTAGGTGCCGAAGTGACATTAGCCGAAATTCATGTAATGTCAGTAGTAGACTTATCACATCACAGTATTAGGCATTCGCATGTCACATTAATCAAATCAATTAGTACTAGGAGCCGAAGTTCATGTTCTCGACCATGTACTCGGGGAAATAGTTTATTGTACGAGAATCGACTGGTATTGGAGTAAAAAATTGTCATATTTTTGTACCATTACTTGTTTATGGTATTGGAATTTTTAAACTTTAAATACATCTCAATTTAACCTTCTTTTGGACAAGCTACCATGATTCATTCGGGTTTCACATTAATCAAATCAATTAGTACTAGGTTTAGTTCCCGTCAAATTCCCCCGACTCAGTTGGGCCATCTCATAGAGTAGGTTCCCTCTCTTCTTAGGAATAAGAGTAGGTTAAACTAGATTAGATGTGCCGTTACGCAAAAAAAAAAAAAAATTAGTATAAGGAGTCGAAGTTCATGTTCTTGGAGAAATAGTTGACTGTGGGAGAATCGACTTGTATTAGAGTCGAATATTATCATTTTTTGTATCATTACTTGTTGATGGTATTAGAATTTTTAAACTTTAAATACATCTCAATTTAACCTTTTTGACAAGCTACCATGATTCATTCGGGTTTCATACCGTTGCCTGAATTTTTAACTTCCAATTGTGTTACAGATATTGAAGCTGGCAAACACCTTGTCTTGCCACCATTTTGAAGCCACATATATCGGAGCCAAGCGAAAGGTAAACTTAGTTACCCGTCTGGCAGAAATCTACGGCCGATATGTGGTCTCAAAAGTAATGTAAGTAGACGAGTTTTCTTCTAGGTAATCTTTTTTTTTTTTTTTAAATTCCAATGATAAACAAGCGATGCTGACAATACAATTACCTTTAACAGATTTGATGACACCAATACTCAGAAGTTGCAAGTGATGGCAGAAGAAGTTGACGCTGAAATGTTTAACTTCGACCCAAGAAGCATCCAATGGAAGGATTATCTGATGAATATTCATATTCCTGGGGCTATCAAGCATCTGTTTTAAATTTGTTTTGTCCGATGCATATTATTCTAGTATCCAATAAACATACAAAACAATAGAGAATTTAAGTGCAAAACAATTTATTATGTCAACGTTAAATAACGTTAATTGCATTGTATTGTTTTAGTAGTTAAGGTTCAATAAAAATTTTAATATTTTAAAAGTGAGGGATGAAAAATTCCTTTGACGAAATATGATACACGTTTTGAATGATTTTCCTCTGATCTATTGCAATTTTGAGAACAATCTCTTGTTATTGAACACCTGGAAACTGCAGAAATAGTACATTGGCTCTTTGGCTGCAGTTCATTAAGTTGGTCCACATTTTGGCAAAGCAGATTTCTTATCCCCATATTGCCTGAATAACAGGGATCCGTAGGCATAGGTCAAATTGATCCGCATCAACTTGGTTCGAAGTTGTTCATTCTACATGCTTTTAAGGAAAAATTATTCAAAACATTCTTCACATTTTATCAAATGAATTTTTTCATCATTCACTTTTAAAATAATAACTTTACATCTTTTATAAAATCAAGTCCGTAAAATTTAGCTCCAATTTAGGTTTTGACAACTTGTTACCATGAATCCATCATGTAACGCATACATAATCATTTTTTTTGGAGCAAAAAGGTCAAATTTCATTTGTTGTTAAACAAATTACCTGATCCATGATCATTTTTACATTTAAAAAAGTAGGATCTAACCTAAATTATATTCATTTTTCATTCATACTGATTCTTACTTCTAAAAATGTGGGATTTGAATCTTTTGTATATAAAAAATGACTGTACATAGGTCACATGGTGATTTCAAGCAAAAAAGTAGTCAGAAACTTAATTTGGGTAAAATTTTGCTAATTTTAATGTGTAAGGGACACAAAATTAATATTTTTAGAGTGAAAAATGGAAAAATTTATTTGACAAAATTTGAAGGACATTTTAAACAATTTTTCTTTCTTTTAACTTAAAAATAAATGACTCAATTTAGACATTTATTACAATATAGTAGAGCTTATATTTTAATATTCTAGGAGTAACTAGCTAGTATATTTTGATCCTAAGTTATAACACACACCCGCTTATATTTGCCTAACGGTATAGCGCATTTTCCCAGGTTTCGTGTCAATATATTCGATTCTCATCCTGGAACTAATGTAGCACACATTTCTTGTCTCACTTATCAATAGATGACAATAGGTATTAAAAGAGGACACCGACAAAGCATTCGACACCTGTTTTCTTACACATAGATGGGATTTGATAATGATCATATGCTCTGGTTATTATCTTACGCAACACATCGTCTTTAATATGATGTAACATATACTCTAGTTATTATCTTACGCAAGGCCTGACAAATTCAGTGAAGTAGATCTATCAAGTGAAGCGATCGTACTTACAAAGTTATAGCTTATCGATGCCCTTAAATTATTTTCTGAATTTAGTACATCAAATACACAAACCTGTTTTCATTGCAATCAATTAATTAACAGGATTAGGTGTGATAAGTGAATATTTAACGTACATTTTGTATGAATTTGGCATGAATTTTTGGTATGTTTTGAGAAGATTAAAGCCATATTTAAACTCTTTTGGTGATAATTGCTTAAATATTGTTTAAGAGTTAAGAAATTGATAAATGAGTGATTAATGCGTAATTTTGTGAAATTGTGAAGGTAATTGATGTATGAAATTCATGCACAAGTTGAAAGAAATGTCAGGGTCATCCAGAGGACAAAGTACACAAGAAAGTGGGAGCAAAAATGTAGAAAAAGGGAAGAAGTGAAAAACTGGAAAAATGCTCAACACGGATCCGAGCTCGGATCCGTGTGTACAAGAGGGATCCGACCCCTCGTCTGTACTTCTGGCGGAGTGTATCCGAGGTCAGGACGATCCGACCTCGGATCCATCATGGGAAGGCCTCGGATCCTATAATCCGAGCTCGGATCCATTATCACTCCTCGGATCCGAGGCTCGGATCTGTCTCTCTCCTCAGCAAGTGGCACAGCCGTTTTTCTTTACCTTTCTCACAACTTTTACAGCTATTTTGAGGGACAGAAATCGGTGGCACATGCTTCTGCAATAAAAGAGAAGACCAAATGAGTGTGGACAAAAGGAACATCATATCTTTGACTTCTTTTTACAAAATCTAAGTGGAGGAAATTATGAAGTGAGAGGAATGGAATTTCTCACCTTTTATGCAGAAACACAAGGGAGAAGCAAGGAACCATACGTAGCTAGTTTTCCTTCTTGCAACAAGTTTTCTCTCTAGATAGGAGTACTTGGAGAAGCATTTTTTGGAGAGTTTTCACTTGTAATCATATTGTGCAAGAACATAGCAGGAATTGGAGAGCTTCACCTTCAATTGGCTAAGCTTTCTTTTATCTTTCTTATACTTGTACTTTATGATGTTTTGCATTAATAAACTTGTGAATTTGATTGTTAAATCATTCATGAGTAGCTAAACTCCTTCATCTAGGGAGTAGATGAAACTTATGGCTAAATAATACTAATTGAATGTGATTTACACTTGTTATATCTTGAGTTAACTTGTCTACTTGTGTAGCTGTGATTTCTTGTTATTGTTTGATCACCAATAACTTGTTTACAGTTGTTATTGTTCAATGAGAATTGGTAATAACAATGGAAACACATGAGTAGAGCTTGAGTTGTATGTTCATGAAAATAGAAATACACTTAAGTGGATTACTTAGTATTTCATGAATTAAAACAGAGTTGTAGTAGTATTTCACCATGGAAATAGGGAAATCTATATTGCTCTAAGCCATTTCATCATGGAAATGAGACTTGGTAATCTTGGAAATAAATCTCTGGTTAAGCAAGAATAATAGCAAGAAGTAAATCCATTTATTTGTGTAGTTTATGCCATAAGTGGAATCTACATCCCTAGAATCTTCATTAAGTGAAATTTCTCTATTTGCATTCAGCATTTGTTAAACTAGATTTGTATATCAGATTTGTAGATTACAGCATTAGATTTTCTCTGCTCAAAATTAATGGTAAGTCTAAATAATAGAGAGAACAGGGGCTTAGTAATTGTTTAAATTGCTCCTCGTGGGATCGACCCGATACACATCTTGTACTAAAATTTCGACCTGTATACTTGCAGTCCAACGGGTGTAAAATCGGAATTAAACTTGCATTGATACAAAAGAACCCGTCAAGTTTTTGGCGCCGTTGCCGGGGAGCGGCAATATTAGGGCCTAGTCATCTCTATTAATTTAGACATTTTCATTGTTTTTATCCAAGTTGTTGAATTAAAACTACAAAAATTTCTCTTATTTTTATTTGTAGTGCATGCACCGATCAAATAGAGAAGTTGCACATTTTGATCCTGAAATTGAAAGAACATTGCGGAGACAAAGGAGGAATACACTGCATCAAGAGGAACAAGAGGTTTGGCAGCCAATAGAAGATATCTTGATAGAATTACCATTTGAAGAAGAAATGGCGGAAAATGACCTAAATAGGCGAGTTCTGCGAGATTTTACTATACCGGGAACACAAGGTTCACAAACGAGCATAGCAAGGCCTGCGGTAAATGCTAACAACTTTGAGATTAAACCTTCACTTATCCAAATGGTTCAACAATCTCAATTTGGAGGTAATGCAGTAGAAGATCCTAATACACACTTAGCTACATTCTTGGAAATTTGTGATACAATTAAAATGAATGGAGTTAGTGATGATGCTATAAGGCTAAGATTGTTCCCATTTTCATTGAGAGATAAGGCCAAACTTTGGCTACACTCTCATGCTCCCAATACTTTCACTGGATGGGATGAATTATCAAGAGCATTCTTAAATAAGTACTTTCCACCAGGTAAGACTGCTAAGCTTAGAATGGATATCACTAGTTTTAGCCAATTAGAAGGTGAATCATTATATGAGGCATGGGAAAGGTTTAGAGATCTGCTTCGGAAATGTCCACATCATGGACTGCCGGAGTGGTTAATCATACAAACCTTCTATAATGGTTTAGTTTTTTCTACTAAAACTATGATCGATGCAGCTGCAGGTGGAGCTTTAATGGGTAAAACACCCCAAGAAGCTCATAATTTGATAGAAGAAATGGCAGCAAATAACTACCAATGGGCCAATGAGAGAGGTAATGCAAGACGTCACGCAGGTATGATAGAAATGGACACTCTTAATATGCTGAGTGCTCAAATGAATAATGTGATGAAATTGCTAAGTAGACAAGGTCCAAGCTCATCTAATGCACATGTAGCATGCTGTTCTGTATGTGGAGGTGAACATGATACTAATGAGTGTGTTGATTCTGAACAGGTACAATTCGTCAATAATTACAATCGTAATGCTCAAAATAACCCCTACTCGAATACTTACAATCCGGGGTGGAGAAATCATCCAAACTTTGGATGGAAGGATCAAGGAAATCAACCAAGGCCAACCAATCCACCGGGATTTCAATCAAGGCAACAACAAGCTGAAACTAAATCTGGTTGGGAGATGGCAGTGGAAAAGCTTGCAAAAGTTACCTCGGACAGATTTGAGCGAGTAGAAGGAAGGTTGGACCAACTCACTACAATGTACAGGAATGTAGAGGTCCAAATTGGTCAAATTGCTAGTTCTTTGAATAATCGAAATCAAGGAGAATTACCTAGCAAAACAGAGGTCAATCCTAAGGAGCATGTGAAAGCCATTACTCTTCGTAGTGGTAGACAATTAGAAGATCCTCCAGTGAAGGAAGTTGAGAAGGATGAGAATGAAAAACAAGAAGAAAAGCAGTGGAACCAAGAGGCGATTGTGGAGGAAAATAGTCGGGAGAATCCAAGAGAAAAGCAACCATCATCTTCCACTACCATTCCAATACCCCCTGCGGTTCCATTCCACAAAGATTAAAGCAAAATAAGTTTGATAAAGATTTTGAAAAATTTGTTAAACTTTTCAAACAATTGCACATTAACATTCCTTTTGCCGATGCTATTTTGCAGATTCCGTCTTATGCGAAATTTCTCA